TTTGTTGAACGCAGCGGACGTGTTTTGTTAAATTACGGCATCCTACACAAAGAACCTTATATTTGTTAAAAAATGGAAGTAAACAACGAAATATTTGATTATGTATAGATTTTAATAATTATTTAGTGATATTTCAGCCAAATCAGTGTTGTACAAATGACATGTAAACAAACCGACTGACGTTTTTACAGGAAATAGTGCTTTTTACGTTCCCGTGCACTTTTGCATCTGTTCTTCATTTACTCTCACTTGAGAGAGTAAAATTGTAGTTTGACAGTTCCACAGGTTTTAGTCCGAAGTTCAAAGGAACAGACTAATAAATAGGTAGCAATATCGATATTCATATCGAAAATATAGAAAAATAAATCGATAGGATGCGATTAATATATAAATATATAAGTAAAGCAAAAAATACCATGTCGATAACAAACTTTAGCGAATATAACCGTTGTCGATGAAAATGTCGTTAACGAATAATGCGTGCGAATATTGCGCCGAAGCTTTGACCAGAAATATTAAAAAAGTATGAAGTTACTCTTTAACTCCTAAGGCCAGTCGTGTAAACTTACTACTAAACTTATGTATGTACGTATACCGGCTACCCACCATTAACCTTTCCTCCTGCTTTCATTCCACAACAGATTTTAGCCTATTGTACATTTATGGCACATCCCATCGAACTCATGGACATTGACGAGGAGAAATTTCATATAAATTTGCATATCGCGCGCATTTTCTCATTTCTTGGCATTTTAGTACATTTTGGTAAGCATCCAAAATTTGCAAAGTAACTTTGTAAGTTATGCAAATATAATTGAAAGCATTTTTACATTTCAGTGATGATTTCTGCCAGCTTCGTGCATCGGGATCACTCGCTGTGGCAGCGCAATCCCTTCCGCAATAGCATTTGGTTCTTCACCTGCAGCTGCACAATACTTCTGCATGTAGTTGTTTGTGCAGTGCAGATTTTCCTGCACGACACCTACTTCAAAGAGGCATGTGGCATGTGGCCGGCAATAGTTTTTCTCTACTGTGGAAGTTTGATAAGTCTGACTATCACAGAAATATGCAAGTGGCAGGAAATTAAGTGAGTTTCTCAAAAATTTATTTTTAAAATCGATATTTTTTTGTAATGAATTTACGATTGCTTTTGTCACAGGGTAAACACGCGTTATCAACGGCGTGCGAGACTAGACTTTGGCACCAAGTTGGGCATGAATTCACCATTTTAAAAAGCGACTGAACAAAAGCGATGAGTATTCAACAATCTAAAGAGACTAATTTCGACATCAAAGAAATAAAAAACAAAACGATGCAAGGATGATGCATTAAAAAGACCATAAACTATTATTATAAAAACTACTTAAAGAACACATTTAAAAAAAAAAACGATAAGCAATTCAAGACGTAGTGCCAAGGCTGCGGCTAAACTAAATAATAACGAAATTATGGAATCACAAAATAAATAAAAAAATCAAACTTATTTGTACTTATGTGTCGTTTTTGAAATGCGAATGCGCCGCTGACACTATTTAATATTAAAGTCTTTCATCAAATTCGCTAACGATGAGCAATATGCATTTACATCCATATGGCAACGAAAAAAAATAATAGCAGTGACCAACTTTGGTTTTTTTTTTTGTATGTTTGAAATGTGGATTTATATACATACATACAGTCAACCAATAAAGTTTAGGTAGAGAGGATATTTTGCAATATGGGCAACTGGTTTTTAAATAATTTATTTTTGGCAAACTTTTTATAAAAATATGGTTAATTCTACATCAAAACCCCCAAAAATCAGAGTTCCAGGCCTGGTGGAAAATTAAAGAAAATTCTGTAAATTTTCCATAAAATATTGCACATGTTAATTACATTCTTTAGAACAAAAAATTGAGTATTCACTTTTTTAGCCCATTTAATTTTAGTATAATAAAGTGCAAGTTAGAGGTAGCTAGGAAGGTGTTGCTCATTTTCTCTGTATAAAATTGTTGTTATATGGAAAAAAATGTGCGACATGCCTTAGAAAAAAATTTGCCAAAAACCAATGGTAAGTCCCAGCTACTTCAAACTTGCACTTTATTGCACTAAAATTGAATTTTCTAAAGAAGTGCACACTCAATAATAAATAATGTAATTAAAAAGTTCAATGTTTTAATGAAAATTTGCAGACTGCCGTTTGTAAAACTCGATAATACCGACATATTATGTTCTATTTCAATCGCACTTAAGAAGAAATTAAAAGTTAGTCACTGCTGCAGCACTAGCTCCAAATGCAATTAATTTTCCTAAATATAAGTGCACACATACATACATATGTTTGTATGTACGTAAATATTTCCTTAAACATTTTCTATTTGCAGCGCATTCGCATTTAGGCGCATATAAAACTCAATAGCATCTAAGTTTTTAGTTGTTAGTGTGTGCATTTTTTAAATTACATACATATGTACACTTTCCTTTGCTAATGAACTATGTTAATGTTCACATTTTTGTAACGTATTGTACATACATACATATACCATTTAACAAAGAGTTGTTTATGAATTTATCGCTTTAATACTTATGTAGTACTAACTCAGACATTTGTGAAACTTTCATTGTTTTATGTATTCAAACTTGCGAAAGCAAGAAAAGTAAAATGCAAAAAAAAAAATAAAGGAATTTTTTTTATCAATTGTTTTTTTTTTGTGCGGTTAATTCGATTTCACCATTTTTATTTCCGAACTTTCATATTCGAAACAGTGGAGTGCACGTTTAAAAAGTATTACATTTTTTTTATAAAAATATTGTTAATTTTATAATCAAAACTTACAAACTTTAGAAAAATGCAACAAAATTCTTTCTGAACTTTTTAATCCGAATCATTATACAATTTTTTGGTATGCAGTTACATGGCTCATGTAATAAAAAAAGTGCAAGTTTTAAGCGGCTAAAAATCGCGTTGAATTTTAATAATTTTTCTTTGCTGAAGGTTTGTTTGGGTTTTTCATATAACAAGTGCAATTTTCAAAAAAAGTGCCGTTGGTGTAAACTTTTATTTTTAATTTTTTGCACATTTTATTCCACAAGAAATTCTTCTTTATATGGAAAAAAGTGCAAAGAGCTACAGCAAAAAAATTATTAAAATTAAAAGCAATTTTTTAGCAGAAAATTGTTGGGAAAATTAAAAAAAAATCAGATTGAAAAGTTCAAAGTTTTGATGAAAATATGTTAATTTTTTCGAGTTTGTAAAAAATTTAAAAGTTTGATTTATATAGTTTTGGTTAAAGCACGAGCAATAGTTTTATAAAAATATAAAAAATAACAAAATAAAAAATTAACTTGAAAAACATTGTAAATATTTAAAACAAAATATCACCATGCACTTACTTTTGATCGCCAGCTTATGTAGAACTGACGATAGAGCAGATTATCCCCTGCATTTCTTAACAGATTTTTTTTTATTATACGTGCATTTATTTGTTGGATCTGCTTATTTTACATCTATTAAGCCTACCAAGTTTAAAAATCTTACGTCTAATTTACAATAATATAGCTCAAACCCTGTGGTTTGAATGATTTCTTTTAATCAAAAAAGCACAAACGCGAGTGAATTTGAGTCAAGTGCGCATTGTATTCAAATTGGCAAGGGTTGAAATTGCCTCGGAAGTGAATTGCAGAACAATTATACAATATTTAATTTTATTTCCTATAACCGTTATGGTCTCTGGTATACAGTGCTGCAAAAGTAACTCGAATTGTGAGGAATTTAGTTACAAATAATTTATTGAAGTCAGCGCTTGTTGCTCCAAAATTTGTTGAACAGGTTTTCTAAAAAAAAAATTCACCTGGTCACCGCAGCAGTCGCCAAACATTTTGCTGCTCGATTTTTCACCAGGCGCTCAGAAGCAGGAAGCAAGCGCCCGCCAGAAATTCCACCACGAAATCGTTGCCTGAATTTAGGCTACATCACCACAGTGGCTACAAAAGTACTGCGAAACAAGTTTGGGAGGCAGTGTACTAGTCGAGTCAGATGACACAGTAGCGGCAATTTAAAAACAACACCAGCTGATTTATTTTGTCACTTTTTTATTTATTTATTTATTTACCATTAAACATTTTTTTTATATAATTATCTGTTTGAAATGGTTGTTACAGGTTTTATTGAACATATCTTGCTTTTGCAATATATTTTAACAAGCCGCAGAAAAAACCTTGCACAAAAGGTACATAAAATTCTAGAGCGTAAATACAACAAATATTAACAGTTACTCGTTTGAAATAAGCTACATGCGCGTTATAAATACCAATACATATATTTTTTCTTTTATCAACTTGCTGGCAAATAAGAAAACTACAAATTCTCCAAGCATGTGCAATGTTCCGAGTTTATATGTGAGGATATACTTGCATCGGTTTCGCTGTCTAGTTCAGCTTCATCTTTGGCTACATTTAAATTTCGCGCTGAAACTGATTTTATAATTGTTATTTTTCTTTATAATAATAGGTACATATAAAATGGTTTTAGTTTTTTTTTAAATATGCAATAAATACAATACATAAGCGTACACAACGTGTAACTATATATTTACTTATTAACATGCATACATATATACATGTATGTATGTATGTACATATACTGTGTGCATCTCAAAATATATCTTCTAGAGGCGCTTTACCTGCGAGATGCATTCATAAACATATATGCACATACAAGTAGAAACAACTGTATGTATGTGATTTTTAGTAGATGTTGTAGTTGTCGTAATAGTAGTAGTAGAAATAATTTAGTAAGTAATTTTAGTTGTAACTGTAGTAGAAAAAATCCTTTAAGAAGGTTGCATAAATTCATGAGAAGATGACGACTGCAACGCCATAGCACCACAGTGGTGGTTTATACTTCTGGATGCTCAGTTGTGTGACGCAGTGTGGTTGTTATCGCAACAGTGCTGCGATAGTTGGAGCAACGTGAATTACTCACTTTTGGGAATCTCGTGCACCTTGAATATGTTCGACAACTCGTCCAGCAGTGTTTCACTTCGATAGGAAACACGGATATCGGGCACATTCGTGCGCGTAATGTCATTACCAGCAACACCTTCACGGGTATAATTGGGACCGAGCCAATGTTGTTTGACCTGAGAAGATAAGATGGTGATAAAGTTAGTTTAAGGTGAAAATCTAAAACAACAAAATAATATGAGCATGTTGTGATATGTTTTAATGAATAAGCGAAGTACTCCTGTGAAGTATTTTAGTTGTTAGGAATTCGGATTTGAGTTTGTTCACGGTTGTTTGTTGTACGGTTTTCAAATTGATTAAGAATCTACAGCAGTTTTTACGAAAATAGCAGCGCGACGTATTGACATGTTTTGATAGTTTAATTTCCTTTTATTTAATTTGAAAAATTTTTGTTATAAAAATATAATTAATTCTATAACAAAAAGCATACAATCAGCCTTAGCCTGAGTTTCGCCCGTAAAAAATTCACCCTAAAATTTTTCATCCGCCCATAGTAAATACACGGAAACAAAAAGTGAAAAGTGAACCAGTTCGGGGAAAATGAAACTCATGATAAGGCGAAATGTAAAATTTCACACTTTCTACATAATCAATAAAAATTCAAGAAATTCAGAAATTTTGATTATGCCGTTTTATGTTTAAAGTTGAAACATATCTACGGTATATATACTATACTCTTTTCCTATCCTTTCAATGGACTTAATTTTTGTAACACACATACCTTATGCGGGAAGCCACTCATGATTACACTGTTGCGCGCCAATTCGCACATATCACATGAGCTAAGCTTCCACACTTGTGCCGCAATGCTGTACTCCTCCATTAGAGGTTCCTAAAAGAAAGTAAAACAAATTAATAATTAAATATATTTCTTCTCAAATCGTCTTACCTTTGTGAAGTGAAATTGTAATGGATCATCAGTCGATAGTGAGACAATTAAGCCACGTGCTAAATATTCTGGCAACGGATTGCGATGATAGTTGAGGAAAAGTGAATTGTTGGAAAGTGGAGACATAGCAATACCAATCTGAGACAAATAATACAGATACTGCAGTACTGGCACTTTTCGCAACAGCAGACCGTGAGATATATTCTCAGCCATTAGGTAACCGCAAACTAAATGCTGCACAGGACCAGCCTCGCCGCAATGCGGACGTAAAACAAATGTGTTCATGCCACGCGCTCTAGACGAAAAAAATAAATACATATGTAAGTGGAATTGTTAATAAAAATTATAAGCTAAAAGCTTGAAACAATAAAGACCCACTCACTTTCTGTACTGATTCAATACCGTCATATTTGCATACATATAATAAATATAATAAGCATATGGCGGATTTTCCTCTTCGCTCCACGCTTCTGGTGTTAGTATATCCACATCGATAATTGGATTCTCTGGTTTTGATTCATCGTCGACCGAATCGAAGCCGATGACATACTTGAGAAAACGATGCAATTCGGGATGCTCATTAGGACGGCTGGTAGCCTCGAATAGAGGCAGAAAGATATTATCCAGGATATTTTGGAATGAATTCATCAAATTGTTGGATTTGAATATATCACTAAAAAGAGGGGTAAAATACGATTATGTTATTTGAAATCAATTCATTTTTATATAAATAAATTTATAATTTTATGTGCTTACTAAAGACGTGGAATCTGTATCAGCCAGCGTACATTTGTCGAATGCACGTTGTAATCGATGGCCCATTTGGCTAATTTTTTCCACTCATCCGGCGATTTACCGTAAATGGAAAGACGCAATTCTGCATTTTGGTATTTCGATTCCTCTAAATCATAGGCAACTTCCTAATTAAATTATAAGGCAGAAATATAATTCCTTGGGGATTTTGATTGTTTTTTGTATACATATTAGGGTGGTTCAAAGAAAGTAAAGCTGGAAATTTAATGCTCTTACATGTGTATTTTATATCGGGGAAAATTTCTTCGTAGAAAATGGTATGGAGCCATTGAAAATCAATATTTTACAATCGGCAAACTTTCGATATTAAAAAATTGTTAAACAATTGGATATTATTTTTTGATGGCTTTTGAAGAGAACACAGTTTGCGGATTGAAAAATATTCTTTTTCAAATAGCTTTTCCCCCTTGTAAAATATGTACATGGGGAAACTTTGAGCGCTTTGAGCTACCTCTAAATAATTTTTTATAAAAAAAAAAAACGTGGATATATTTTTTCGATATAGAACAATCCTAGGGGGTCAGAGCATTAAAATTCCTACTTTACAAACATATATACATATTTATAAACATTTTTGTTTTCGAAAAAGTTATTTAACTTGTATGTTTCCTGTGTCTACCCTTACCTTAATAATTTGCGCAAAATATTTGCCATTCGAATAGTTATCCGTCTTTAGGAAGACCTCACGTAAACGCGACTCACCGATCGGATTGTATTTGGAATTGAATTTGTCAAAGCGATGGAATGTGTTCCGATCTGCATGGACGTCCAACATATCTACGGTAAGATCATAGGTAGTTAGGTTCATCGATTGGAAAACATCTCTCAGTGACATTTGTTGACCCTTGGTAACTGTCACAATTTCATCGGAATTAGTTTTTAGTGTCTTCTTAATAAAACGTAATAGATGTTTTTGATTCATGCAAGAGGCCGCGTGTATGTGAGTGTCCACTTTTCTAAAGGTGAGAAGAAGAAAAAAATTTAGTTGAAAGTACCATAAAATGTATGGGACCATATTTAAATAAAGAACTTTGGTTAGACTTTTTTTTCGAAAAATGGTTTGGACAACATATATGTGGCAGGAAAAGTTCGAACATAAGTTTTCGAAATAAAACGACTTTGAAGTTAATAAGTGAATTTGCAACTGTGAATTTTCATGATCACGTTACACCAATATAACGGTTAATAACTAGACAGTTTGAGAGGTAATCTTCGAAAACTTTGTCTTCACAAATAAAAGGAGAAACTATTGACAATACCCAAGACAATTGACCGGCTAGTTCTGAGATACGTTGCGTCAGTTTGTTCACCAGATATTAGTTAGACCGGAAGAAGGCTTAGACTGCCACAAAATCACACTCCGAAAAGCCGGACAACTCGTTATGATGATGCCTGCACACCACTTACAAAGTTATGCCCTTACGCTCATTGTAAAGCATCATAATTGTATGTTAAGTAAATAATTTCTGCCACTTTGTTGCGACACAAATCATCCGATCTGCCACATTTTGAAGCTGCTACCTAGAAGACAATTTACGTCGGCGTTCATAAGGAATATCGTTCTATAAGGCTTACCGAACAAGTGCTGAAAGAAGAGCTTCCCTGCAGGTATTCTATAAGGGCTTTTCCTATTTAAATATTTGATAGGAACTTTATATATAAAACATTAAAGAAGTATGATATTTCTGAATTAAAGAAGGAGCTTTAGAACAACAACTACTCCAAAAAGCCTTCTGAAGTACATATGTATGTCCCTTCTGGAAGCACTTCTAGCGAAAGCAGAATGCCCTTAAATTTGTCTCTCTGCAGACAAAAAAAAAAGAAAAGGAAAGGCAGAATGGGAGGCTTTTAGCTCCTGAAGTTATCTGATGGGCATCGTCTACCTTACTAACATGAATCGTTGATGTGTAGTACGTTGATTGCTGGGACACTGAATCTATCTGAGATATGTAATAAGCTAAACTGCATACATGCATATCGTAAACCTAACATTTTAATTTCTTTAAGTGGTGATTAAAAAATTTCTAGAAATTATAGTTTTTTAATTGCGAATCTCTTTTAAATGTTGTGGTTTATTGAAGATTCTAACTAATTTAATGTTTTAGTACACATTTTTTGATTCTGAGAGGTATTTAGTGAGCAATCGACTAACTTTCGTACAAAAGTGGACTTTGAATGAATATTGGTATTGGGATATACTACTATAACCAAATCAGGTGTTGAAAGAAACATATTTATTTGGCGACACTAAACTCAAAGGATGCTAGACAGCGTGTGGACAGCGTTTTTAAAAAAAATCTTACTTACCTGATGTTGTAGAAATCGCGATGTGGCACCGCTTTCTGTGAGGCTAACTCACGCAGCTCATTCAAGAGAACGTGTAATTGGAATTTTGATGAGAGATAGCAAAGACGGCGATAACAAAACGATTTCCTATGTAAAAAAAAAAACGAAAGGTTTGAATAATATTAAAGCCATAACAATTGGTTTAGCCAACTCACAGTGGTCCATCGACGATCATGTTGCACATAACTTGCATATCGTTCACGAATTCTTTGAGATTTGGATATTCACACTTAACTACTTGCGTGCATTCCTGTTAAAGTAGGGGAAAATCAGAAAAGCAAAACAATTAAAACAACAAATTAGTATACATAGTTTACCAATATGGCGCTCTTACCTTATCCTTGTAGACGTGGAAGACACCATTAATACTTTTGATAGCATATTCGTTATCAGGTGGAAACTCCAAGTCCCATGGGTCGGACGTGTCAGTTGGCGGATGTATGGGATGGTCTACATACGATTACCCGAATGTGCGCCGTTTGATGGTATCGAGTGTCGGGTGTAAGGTGCCAAATGACGATTTACATGAAGATGGTGCCGGTGTGGCGTGGCGTGTCCCAGTTGTATAGTTGTGTTTGGGTGTGTAGTTGTGTATTCCATATTCGAAATTGCATTTGCATATTTTTTGTTGTTGTTGATTTTGTATTTTTCAATTCATTACGTGTTGTCGTTATTATAATTACAACAAATTGCATTCGATGCATAGCGTTGCGTTTCAAAAATAGTTTTACGCACACGCATGCACATACCGATGTAGTGTACGTCATAAGTGTAAAAGTGTCGCATAAAAATACAGAAAAGAGGAAAAAAACCAAACCGAAATGTTTATTTGTTGCACTACCAATCAGTGTTATCTAGTATATAATTGCATATGTATGTATGTATGTCAATTATTGTGTATGTATGTATTTATTCTATAGGCATATTATACTGTATCTACATATATACATACATACGTATGTATGTATATTCGCTAATACTAAACGCTAAGTTGATTAAGCGCATCACAGAGGTGAACACAAAGAAAATAGGCACACAAATAACACAGTAACAAAAAACAAAGGTTTCAAATTCAATTGAATAGCGTGAGTGGCGGCTTAGAAATACAAAAACACACTCGGCAAAAAAAAACGAAATATAAACAAGTTAAAGGCAACACAACCGACCAACGCTGCTCGTAAAGGTCACGGCTATGAGCACACAATATTCAAGGATATTTAACTGCCGGCTCTTTGTAAATATGTATAGCATTTATGAATGCTTGTATGCAAAAAGATTTTAACTTGTAACTGCAATTGTATATGGTTGTGCACAAAAACAAAAGATTGCACTTGCATACGACTACATACATACAGTATCGGTCATATCTATAGCACGCCATTTCAAAGTGATGTTGTGTGCCACTTATATTTATTTATTAATTTTTAAGAATTTTCAATTCAAATATAGTTCATTCTCAGACAAACCCCATATAAACCCAAGTTTAACAATTTGTATAAAACTACAAAAAAGAGCAACAAATTTTCACCTAAATTTCAGACTTTTTTCTCGGAAGTGTTAGAATTTTTTTGAGTACACAGTTTTTTAGCCCCTTCAATTTTAGTCTGATAATGTGCAA